CATTCCTGGACTGAACTATGGAACTTCAGGAACCCCCTTCATGCTTTTCTTGGTCTGAGCTTTTTCTTCTTTACTGTCCTCTTTCTGTTGGTATTTAACAGCTTTAAGAAGGTCTTGACCTTTATTAACCTCCCCTTAAACTCTTGAGCGCCAATGATCACCATTCCCCTCCTTAAGAAGCTCTTGGATCGCAAATAACAACTCTTGAGACCCTCATAATTGAACCCACTTCTACAGTAAGCAGCAAAAGAACCTTAAAACTTTCAGATCCCACTGAGTCCCCGAGGATGCCCTCAGAGACTACCAAAGCACCTTAATGCTTTGCAAGGTCAGAAGTATTTTATTATTTGTTGCTTCTCCCTTTCAATTCAACCAGAAACACTTAAAATGAATAAAACAAATGCTGAAAATATAATCTATAAGAATATAATCTTTTTCTTTTAGTGATGGCTGAAATCCTAATTATGATCAGACAGCTGGAGGTCGGAAGTCTCTTTTGCGTTTTTTTCGCCGTAAATATGCTTGGTTTTTTTTTGTTTTTTTGTTTTTTAACTGATATATCATGAAAAGTAGAGCGATGCGCAAAAAGGTCATAATAAAAATATTTCAGTCTTCTAACAAGGTTTATTTAATGTTTCATATTCGTAAACGATTTAAGGATGTAAATGGAAACTTGTTCCCAACAGAATTAAATAAAAACAAAGAAGATTCACTTTAATCTCTTGCACAAGAAAGTTTCTGACGCTCCTATTTTGCCGGAAAATTTCAAAAAAGTTTATTTTGAGTTTCTATATTCAGAACTTAGCACTGAGTGTACTTTGATGGTTCTTTTTTTATTTGTTATACTTTTTAAATTTTTTTTCACGTTGTTTAAAGTGTTTCCCAAGTTGCTGAGATCAAGATTTACTGTATCTTATCCTTCATGACGGCGTTTGCCCCCATAAAAGAACTCAATTTCGTTTTCAGTCCCCCTTGTTAATCAGCCGTTTTTCCACGACCTCTGGATTCTCCAAATAGTAACGCTCATATGGTTTTATTTGGAGTTTTACTTGTTGCCACTTTCTTCAATGCTTATTTTTGGCATTTTAAATTACAAGGACAATAACTGGATCCTGGTTTCATTTGAATGCCCCAGCTTTTTAATTTAAACACCAGCTGTTACCCGCCCAAGCAAATGTTAGAATTAGCATCTAAAAGTCGAGAAAAATTAGAAAGAAGCTGTTGTTACGTGAATTTATTTTTTATTAAAACAAACAGATTTACATCTGGAACCGCAGAAACTACCCCTCCTGGCCTCTCTCCGACGAATCCACCTGCTGCTTTTGTTTCAGGGGACAAAACGTGTCCTTAAATTTCTGAAACAGGCGCTTTGCTGAGATGCTTTTGGACAAACTAACACCAGAGAGCACCAATTTTTATTCATCCCTGTTTTTGTCCTTCTGAGACTGGATGGAGGGTTTTCTCTGCGGCTCCTCCTCCTCCACAACCTTCCCCTCCTCCTCCTCCTCAGGTCTGTTTGGATGCTGCAGAGTCTCACAGCCCGACAGACACAATCAGGAATTTACCTCAACACATACAGACACAACAAGGAAATACAGCGACAACACGGAAGCGCTGCAGAAAACATGCAAGCTGAGCCGAACAGTCCGCTCACATCCTGAGCTTCTCTGAGCAAACAGCCAGTATGTTCAGTTAACAGACAAGCTCATAAACAAACAGCACCGAGTTAGATTACGCTGTCAAAATAAAAGCATAATGGAGAAAAGAATGTCCCTCTAAATACATTTCCTTTATGCGCGCGTTTTTACGCACGAATAAAACTAGTGGGAAGAATGAGTATCAGTTTTTTGGCACCTGCTTGCACTTGACCAACACCCTGAATCGTCTCATCATTGGTATTATTATTTGAAGAAAAAAAAAGCATTACATGAAGCTGAATCTATCCTGTATTATAAAAACTATGGTAAGTGAATGAAAGATCCAAATGAAGAAAATAAAAAAATAAAAAAATTACAGAACCTTTCCATGAACGTTTTCATCCAGCAAATTGTTCTTTTTGGTTCTGTTTATTGTAAAAGACCAGTCAATAATAATAATATGGCATTAAATCATACATATGTGAAATGTTCATATAAAAAATTAAATTCGAATTTAAAAATGATTTATTTTTAGCAAAACAGATAAAACAAAAACAAAATATAAAGCTTCACAGACGGGAAATACCATAATAATAACATGACCGGTGATGAATCTTAATGGTTTATATAACAAAATAATTAAAAACAAAAAAAGGAGATTCTGACAGACTGATGGAGTTTATTCAGACTTGTAGTTTCTGAGAATGTGTTCAGTGCTCAGTTTCTTCTTTGTGCGTTAAAAACCTTCCAGCCCGAAATAAACCGGCTCACTTTGCTACAAGTCTTCTCCTGCCTTGCTTCAGTGATGAGCGCCCGTCACTGACAGACTGCTTCACCTTTTCACAGAAAATAAATTCATATTTGTGGTTGTCTGAGAAGCGCAAACGCTTCCGTGACAATTCAGTGTTTCATGCGTAAAAACAGCGGAGCGTGTCCGAGCAGCTGGTTCATTTTTTTATTAGAACTACACAAAGAATTACGTCAGGTGTATTTAATCCAGCGCGACTCTCTTAAAAGTCGCTCTTTGTTAATAAATGAGCTTTCTCCTCTTAAATTGTAGGTTTTCTGTGTGTCAGCAAGCTGAGTCACATTTCTGCCGAAAAGTCTCCACTTTGGATGAAAACTGTGAGTTGTTGGCAGATTTCCACATGATTCACGTAAAGTTAAGAAATTCAAAGTAAATAAAAAATATGGAAAAATGTTCAATTAGCTTTATGTGGTTTCGTTTTGGACACCTCGATGCTCCAATGATGTCAAAAAAATGTGTGTGTGTGTGTGTGTGTGTGGGGAGGCTTACAATTTCGGTTGTCTTCCCCTCGCACACACTGACATCAAGATCCTCATACCACCTTAAACGTGTTAAATCAACTGTTGTGCACTTTACAGACTGACAGATTTGGCTGAGTGTGTCTCCCATTAAACTATTTAAGGTGGAATTACATTCTGAAAGGCTTTTATTTTGTAGACTTAACAGTTTTTTTTCCTTTTGTAATTATCTGTTCCAGACAACACGTGAGGGTGTTGTTGAGGGGGAACATAATATATTTATTTTTTGCGCTCATATGGAGAGAAAAACTTCATTGTAGTAGCAACAATACTTGTGATATCTGCATGGAAATATTACTATTACTGTGCTAATAACAGCGGTGTAGCTGTACTCATTTCGTCAATAATGACAGTGAATCAATAAAAAAAACCCAGCAGTGCTACTAACAAGAGGTAGTTGTGTAGTTTCAGGGGCTGAAGCAGCTGCATACGGCTGGAAGTACTACAGGCGTATTTGAGTGGATAGTCGTGTAGTTGTTGTGGGAACACTTAGCAGTAGTTGCAGTTTATGCATGAATTAAATGAACTCCAGTGAGACCAGACAGTATCTGACTTTATTCAAACAACAGCAACAACAACAAAGTGCGTAAATATTACTGCACAGTTCAATTCGTGTAGTATCTGTAAAGCAATATGTGTTCTTAGCGGTTTACTATTAACATACGATAATAATGTAAACATTTAACAATGTAAGAACAACAGCGGTATCTATTCACTAATTTCCTCTCCACTGTGACACTTTGAACTTTTTTCATTTCCTTTTCGCAATCATTTCTTCGCGGGCTGGCAACCAAATTCTGTTATAAATGTAAACACATCAACCCATAAACAGCGTCCCCGTCTTTAATTTTATGAACGTTAAAGCGGAGGCAGATAAGGCAGATATTGTGGACTTCATTGCGTACATCCCTCAGTGCCGTTAGAGCAGCAGTAAATGAAGGAGCAGGGGTGCCGTACCAGTCACAGTATATGCGTATAATTGCAACGTATCTTATTTTATTTTGTTTTATTTCTTCGAAGGAAAAAAAATTACATAAATCCCTATTTGAAATGTTATGTTAAATTATTTCACATTTTTCTTTCGATGACGGCTTAAAAAAAAGAAATAAATCTGTGAATGCGGCTTGGTTCTAGCTCTCGGCGGCCCTCGGCTCTCCACCCTTTCCCACACTCCGAGTCTCTTCCTGCCTCCGGTTCACTTCGTGCTGTTGTTAAATTCTCCTCCGCTGGGAGGAAAGTAAGTGACTACTGAAACCTTCCTTAAAGTGGCAGATTGAAATGACACCGTGTTTATGCCCGGCACACATTTTACGCACGGAGAAGCGGCTTTTGGAGAAGCAGCCCCGCAGCCTTTCTGCGCAGCGCAGTCTGCTGCGATCTGACACATAAATCACCTCAGCCTGTCCTGACCGTGTCCGCGTGCCCTCCGGATCCCCTCTCCTCTGTTTATTTTCCCGGGATGTAAACAGTTTTGGAGACGCCGAAGGGGCAAATATTTGAATCGGAGGAGTGTAAATATGAGGAGCGGCGGGGATTTGGGTTTACGCATGCACGGTGTGTGTTTTCCAGCTATGGTTTTTTGGTTTAGGTGGGGGAGAGAGTGTGAGAGGGGAGGGATGAGGGGAAGGCACACGAGTGTTGATAAGGGTGAGTGTGTTTTCTACGCTGTAAAAAGTGTCCGATTTGGCGGCGTAAAAAGGCTCTAAAGTTTCATTTTCTCTATAAAAAAATGTCAAGTGAATAGACGAGTGGGTTTTAAAAAATCTCCATTTTTTTATTCGAGTTTAATCCGTTTACAGTTCAAGGGTATGATTTCGCAGATGATTAATACGAGGACAGGGAGCACGAGTTTGAAGAAGAATAGTCTAACACCCAACGAAAATTTCGAAGCAAACGATTCGCTTTGGAAACCATAAAAACAGACTAGTTCCTGTCGCAGTTCGATGTTCATTTTGATCAAATTTCGATTCGTTAGGACAGAAACCATGAAATGTATCGGGAAGGTGGGCATTTTTTGCAGCGTGCAAGGCATTGGTGGATGTGTGTGTTTCCCTGTGCGTCATGATTGGCTGAAAGCGCAGAGGACGCCTTAATATTTAATACTAATGTTCCCCTGGTTGGCTGAGGACTGGAAAGGTCCAACCAATGTTTTTTTACTTGCTTTAGTGGCTGTGGCTCCCTAATTAATTGCAGCTATCTGTCTCCTATCGATGTGTGTGTACATGTGTGTTGTGTGTGTGTTTCCTTTTTTCTCCCCAAACCGAACATGAAATAGTTTGTTGGGCTATACTTTCTTTCTTCCTATCTATCCCCCCTTCCTTCCTTCCCGTCCTGGTTCGCAGGCAGAGACAGGACAGATTGAAACCCAGCTGTGATCGTCGCTTTTGGTCGTTGCCATTTTCCCCCCTTATTGCCCGGTGATGTTGGATATGGGAGAGCGCAAAGAGGTGAAAATGATTCCTAAATCGTCGTTTAGTATAAACAGTTTGGTGCCCGAGGCCGTTCAAAGCGACAACAACAATCACCAGAACCAGCATCACCACCAAAACCACCTTCACCACCACCACCAGAACCACCACCACCGGCCCGGCGCCGCGGACGAAGCCGAGCAGAAAGCTCCTCTTCCCGTCGCGCAGCCGGACGTTAAGGCGGACTCTAAAAGTGACTCCTCGAGACAGGAGAGCTGCCCGGACGAGAAGGAGAAGCAGGAAGAGAAAAAGGACGCAAAGGACGGAGACGGCGGCGCTGGAGGGAAGGACGGAGAGAAGAAAAGCGGCAAGTATGAAAAACCTCCTTTTAGTTATAACGCTTTGATAATGATGGCCATCAGACAGAGTCCGGAGAAGCGGCTCACTCTGAACGGCATTTATGAATTCATCATGAAAAACTTCCCGTACTACCGGGAGAACAAACAGGGCTGGCAGAATTCCATCCGACACAATCTCAGCCTCAATAAATGCTTCGTCAAGGTGCCGCGGCACTACGACGACCCGGGCAAGGGGAACTACTGGATGCTGGACCCTAGCAGCGACGACGTTTTCATCGGCGGCACTACCGGGAAACTCCGACGGAGGTCCACCACGTCCCGAGCCAAGCTGGCCTTCAAGCGGGGTGCTCGGCTGACCTCTGGGCTGACCTTCATGGACCGAGCCGGCTCCTTGTACTGGCCCATGTCCCCCTTCCTCTCTCTACACCACCCGCGGGCAGGCGGCGCCCTCGGCTACAACGGGACCTCATCGGGATACCCGGGTCATCCCATGTCCTACAGCACCATGCTCACCCAGAACATGAGCAACAACCACTCGTCATTCCCATCCTCCAACGGGCTCAGCATGGACCGGCTGGTCGGGGGGGATCTCCCCTACGCGACGCACCACCTGACAGCGGCGGCCCTGGCGGCCTCGGCGGTACCCTGCGGCCTCTCCGTGCCTTGCTCCGGGGCCACTTACTCCCTGAACCCCTGCTCGGTGAATCTACTGGCCGGACAGACCAGTTACTTTTTCCCTCATGTCCCACACCCCTCCATGACCACGCAGTCCGGCGGCAGCGGCGGCACCTTGCAGGCCGCCCGGGCTTCGGCCTCCAATTCCCCGCAGGCTCCGTCCTCCTCCTCGCTGCCCTGTGACTCTCTTAGGCCCGCTCTGTCCGGCTCTCTGCCGGCCTTCTCCTCAGGACTCTCCGGGGGGTTATCTGACTATTTTACGCATCAGAACCAGAGTTCAACCTCCAACCCGCTTATACACTAACACCCCAAACCCTCACCCCCAGCCTCACCCCTCCACTTTATCCCACCTCACCCCTCCATCCATGCATCCATCCCCTCATTCTGCCCTGAAGGAGTGAGAATCTTTAAGTGACTGGAACTGTAAGTTGAACATTTTACACTGAACATTTACATTGTACAAAAAATGACAAAATTATTATAAACTACCTACTATAGAAAAAAGAGAAGAGGCTTAAAACTGCAAAACAAAAAAGAGCAGCACTGAGAAACTAACAGAAAGCAGCCCTGAAGTTTCCAGGTATTTTTTATTATTATTATTATTATTATTATTATTATTATCTTAATTGTTATTATTATTATTATTATTGTTATTATTATTATTGCTTCTTCTTCTGCTCCATCTTCTCCAGCAGTTTTAATTTTTGTGTACATAATGTCTGTTCCTATAAGTGTCCGGGGTTTGTCTCTGTATAGTACTGTCAGTCAGCGACGTGCAATGTGATCTGAGATAAAAAACAAAACAAAACAAACAAAAACACAAAAAACAGAGAGCGTGAGGAGAGCTGCAGGCTGATTTTTCTGTTATTATTATTGGAGGAGGTATTACTTTTATAGAATGTGTATTTAAAATAGTTTCGTCTAATTTTAAGATTTAAAAAGGTAAAATAATAATAATATCTCTGATAGCCTGTTTTGCCCGCATTTTTGCAGTATTATAGGTATCATGCGGGGTTGAAGAAAAGCGGCGGAGAGTGATTTTATTTTACAAAATTGAAACACATTTTTTATATATATTTTTTTTATTTTTTGTTTCTAGCGACTCTGCCTCCCGCAGTTTAAAGTCCCGAGACTGTTTCTCCACTCGTTTAATTTCCCAGTTGAAAACTGCTAATGTACTTTCTATAGACCAAAGAATCGGTTTTTTAGGATTTTTAGAGTCAGTATTCAGCTGCATAACACTACAGGCCTAATGTGGAAAGAATTAAGGACTGAATGAGTGAATGAATGAATGGATGGGAGAAGGTGTGGATGACGGAGTGAATGATGCCTCCCTCACTGCAGAAAATATCCATTTAAACGAGATTTATATTGCTTTTTTGCAGTCTTTTTAAATTAGCTGAAACGTAAATGGAGTTTGGTGGCGCCGATTTTTTTCAGCGTCATCAGCAAAGGATTGTTAGTGCTGCTGGAGAGATTTTTTTTGCCTCCTGTTGCCTGTTTTTTTTAAACCTTTTGAATTTAACTGCTCGTGCTATAGAAAATTCAGATTTCAAGGCTGAATATTGAGCACAAATTTCTCGTTTTGCTGATGGATATTTTCCGCAGTGCAACCTGTGATGTGCTTTCTTTGACTGTAAACGTGATCGCCGATAAAAACGGACGTTCACGCTTCTTTTCCTTTTATTTCCTTTTTGTATTATTAGTAAAAAAAAAAAGCGAGCGAGAGAGAAATGTCTATTTGTAAGTTGAATGTGGGCTTTTGCTTTTCTGTTTTTCTATAAAAGGAGGAACGATGTAAAAACCCGTTTGTTTGACAAGAAAAAAATGCCTCATTATCTAATACTACTTGGAATGATTGTCCTTTAATTGTCGTCTCTAAAAAAATTTTCATGGTTGTGATACTATTGTGGTCTTATTCTTATTCCCGTGTTTGTCGCTTACAAAAGTTTAAAAAAAGAACAAAAAAAGAAAAAAAATAATCATAAAAAATAAAAATAAAAGAATAGGTTACATTCATAACTAATGAAAATCCTTTTGTCTTTTTTTATTCCTGCTGTCCGTGTTTTCACTGATTTCACTGAAAAGCATAAAAATCAATTTAGGATTATTATTGTTCATATTTTTTTAACAGCAAAACCACCTTTTTTTTCTAGATTTTAACTTAAATTTTGGATTTTCTTAATCAGATTCTGAATTATGGTTTTATGGAGAGCAAACATCATTTGATTCATTTGTGGGCTAAGGTCGATATCCCACCTCATCCACACGAGTGTTTTCCGTTTATGTTTTCCTGGAGTTTTAGTTGTTCTTGTTTACGCACACATCTGGGATTAAAAAAAAAATTCAACCTGTGCGTTACAGCTTTTACACGTGGAGATTTATGCGCGTCTCGGTGAAAAAACTGTCAAATGATGCAACCGGAGGTCGCGTTAAGGCTGCTGAAGCCTGACTGACTGTGTGAGGGTCTTTTGGTGTTTCAGGTTGTGACATTTTCTCCTTCTGAGCAGTGAAATCTGAGGCGCTGGAGGCTGTGGCCTCTGGGTTTGTGTGCAGCCCCCCTCCACCCCCCCTCCCCAATAATGTCATCTTTGCACTGTTTTATCATCATATGTTTGTTTGGTTTAAACTGCTCACAGCTCAAACCACCGTACACTAGTTGTAAGGAGCTCCAGTTTTTTCAGTTTTTTTTCCAAAGAAAAGTCAGGATGTGAGAGCAGATTTGAGCGCTGTGTCACTGATGCGTTTTAGTGTTTTAAATGCGGCTTTTCTTGCTCACTTTGCTCAGTTCTGTTTGTTTTTTTTTTTAAGCCCCAGAGCAGAAACTTTCTGGATATTTTCCCCTTTACATTTTCAGATTTGACATCTTTCCTAAACAAGAGTCAGCTTTTGCAGGCTAATTGTGGTCACTGGTGTTCTTTCTTTGGCGCTGTGCAGTGTTTTCGTCTGTCTGTGGCTTTTTATGTGTTAACAGGTGATGACTTTGATGGTGAGATGACTCTTCTTCTCTGTTTTTTAATCATTCTGCCTCATCTGATTTTTTTTCTTTTTAAGAATCAGAAAAAGATGATTTTTTTCCCCTTAAATTTAGAGATTTGTGCATTTTTTCTTGGTCAGGGGCCAAATGGTGATGGCGCGTTTTTTCCACTACAATTTCTGATATTTCCACCGTCAGGAGACTTTCTTTCTTCTTCCCCTTGGCGCTACCGTGGTTTAGATTTTGAGTATTTCAGATGCTGGTGGCCGGGTTTGCGCCTTCTTGATGCTATTTTACAGCTGAAACTTAAACAAGGTTGAAAATTTACTTCTTAAGTTTGGAACTATTTCATGTTGTGTGAAGTTAATTATTTATTTTTGTGGTGTCATATTTGTACTATGCAACGATGTAGGCTTCATGTATAGGTCGCAGATGCTTGGTTTGGTTTTTAAATCTCTCCAAATAAACACACACACACACACACACACACACACACACACACACACACACACACCTTACATTTCAGATTGTGTTAATTCGGTTCCTCAGTAAACAGGTTCACATTTCGGTTTTCAGTATTTTTGCGCTTCTGTGGAGAAGAAACATGAATTAAATCCAGCAGGAATGCACGTGCTGGTCGTGAAGTATCACATTCGGAGATTTTCTCTCTTTGTTACCTGATGCTCTGCGTTTAATTCTGTGTGGCTGCAGCTTATGTGCCACTTTCTGTTTTGTTCTTACGCTTTTTTGGGGGTGTTTGTGTGTTTCATTCAGGAAGTCTGATTCAAAGCTGAGCGTGTGCGTTTGTGTTGTGCTTTCTGCTGCTGCCAGGATCAGCTTCAGTGTCTTCTTTGAGGTGCTCTGATCGCTTTTTGTGCAGTTGTCGTGATTCCGAACTCAACCTGAAATCTGAATTCTACTTTCAGCCCTGAAAAAGAAAAGTGAGATCTGGATGCAGAGATGTGTTTGCGTCCTCCTCCTCAGCGCTTATGAGCAACGCCTAAAGACTCACAGTGTGTTCAGATGTCGCTGTGATCGCGTGGATGTTTGTTGTTGCAGCTGGTGTGATTTTGATCCGCGGCCTGCAGCTTTTCTTCCTCTCTCTCTCGCTCTCTCGCTATGGTGGTGCACAATCACCACCTCACATTTTTTTCTGCAGGTTTGTGGCGTAAAGCCGTAAACTGAGCCTCTCTGTCTGAGGCGCTGCAGGCCTTCCAGCTTATTCTTCGTGTTTTAACATTTCAGCACAGGCTGCACACACATATACATTTTTTCTTTCTCCACTTTCAGGAGTTTAAATTCTCTAGAGTCCACTTTAGTTGGTGCCTCATGCTTCCTGAAGCCCGTTTTCTTGCAGTGTTGTTGCTAAATTCGAATAATGTTTGCTCAATTGAAGGAAAAAAAACAACAAAAAACAAAACAAAAAAAGCTGTTTCGATGTGAGGATCGTCCTTCCTCACCTGACAACACGTTCTAACCTGAATGAGTCTCTGTTCGGTTTTGGATAAACGCTATCACGTGATTTGTCCTATAGTGGAGTATAGTAGGTCTATAGGTCCCCTCCATCCATCTTAAAGCTCCAATTTTCTGTCTCAGAAACAACAGGTCTTGGTGTTGTTGCAGAATGTTGTTTCCCGTCTTCCCTGTCGTTTGGTGGAAAGATAATTCATAATCCATGCAGATGTGAGCTTGTTCTGCTCATACAATAAGCCTGCAAAGCAAACACTGAGTTTCTCATAGAGTCAGTGTGAGAAAAATGTGATATTTATCTTATTTAGTTAAAACAAACTTATAAAGAAACCTCACAACAACAACAACAACAACAGGTAGTGCAAGTATTTCAAATAATGACAATGACAGAATAAGGATTATTGCCCTCATGCCTGTGTGCTGCCCACAGGTCAAAGGTTAAACCTCCATCCTTTTTTGTACTTTTCTTAATATGTGTTAAAATAGCAAAAAATCTTAAAATCTCTTCATTTCTTTCAGTGGAAATTATTCCAAAAAACAAAAACAAAAATCCCAAAAGAAACAAAACAGAGTTCATTATTATTATTGAATGTTTTTGCTTTTTAAACAAAATTCGTGTCCCATTAAGAGATTTTGGATCATGAAATATTTCACTGCTGCACCTGCAGTAACTAAAGCAGGAGGTCAAAGGTCAAACCTTCAGACTGCCTGCAGCTTCCACAGGAAGCAAGTGCGACCCATGTGTAGCAGACGTGTAGTGCTTGTGTTGAACCTGCAATCAAAGTAGCAGAAAGTGGAACAAAAGAATGATGATGCAATGACGCTGATAGTTGTGTCTTTCTGCTTTTATTTGATAATCATTTATTTTTTCTGTGCATCACCGCAGCGGCTGCTAGCTTCAGTCTGAGTGCAGATGGCTCAGGATCTCCTCCGCCTTTTTATCGCGCACAGATCTGTCGTTTGGAGTCGCTGAAAACCTTCGGCTGTTTGTGCTGTTTGCTGCTGCGGCTTTAGTGCTCAGTGGATCAAGTGTGATCTTTCATTCTACAGCTTCAGGGATTATTTTGCGAATCGATAGCCGGTGTTTTGCTACTCTGTCAGAGGCCTTATGCATGCTTGTTTCGGCTGCCTGGTGAACACATTTCATCCAGACGGGCTCCTGGGTTTTCTATTTATTTATCAACTTATTTTTTTATGTCTTGATAATGATTATGATTTAAGTTATAGGAGACATTCATTTACTTATTTCTTCAGATCAGAAAAGACTCACTTTAAAGTGTTCAGCATGGCATTTTAAAGGCACAATCATGACTTTTGAGGGATTTTTTGCCTCAAAGAAGAAGAGGAAAAGAAAATAGAATGAATGGAAATTTTAAAAAATGTGATTATTGGACAATCAGTCAGTCCGGCCTCTAAACCGCAAATCAGTCCTTTAATGGAGAAAGTTTGTTACACAGTAGCTCTTCTTCTAATCAGAAAAATCTCAATTATGTGAAGTTCTGGGCACATTTAGTCAACAGGTATAGAGCTTACATGTTTTTATGAGAAGAACAAAGCTTCTGAAAGAAAATTGCAGTAAAAAATAATTCCTGTCACACACACTACTCTGAATTTGGTTTAATTTGTGACAACGATTTACATTACATCTGGGCATCAATTCAGAGTTTTCCATCACCAACAAGAGGATAACATATGAAGAAAGCCCTAAATGTTTGAATTTGACTAAACAGATTGGACCATTTGACGAGAATCTCATTGTCAGTGATAAAATGCCACAAAATTAAACACTTTGAAATGTAGGTTTTTAAAACTCTAATTTCTTTGGCACTGAAATGGAACGCAGTTAAGGCGCTGAACACTGTCGGCCTGTTGCCATCAAAACATCTGATTAAAAAACAGAAAGAGTCATTTCAGTGTGGACTCTGAGGGGCAGTAAAGTCAATGAGGACAACTAAATATTTTATTATTTAGCACTATATTAGAGATTTAAAGGATAAATGAACATTCCCAGTTGGTGTCTTAAAAATAGCAAAAATAACAACATTAATTTGTACCAGTAAGGATTAAACATGTGATCTCATAATCCAGGATTTAATTGTAAGATTTAACTTTATCATAAACGAAAATGGGAAATATTTTGAGAAACAAGATCTGGTGGTTAGGAGATTTTTACAGTCTGAAAAGTAGGAATAAAATTCAGAGTATCTTAGTAGTTTGGCATTAAATAGAAAAACACAAAGCTTTTCAACCCCCCCCCCCCCCCCCCCCAAAAAAAAACAAAACAAAAAACAAAACAAAAAAACAAAACCCCCCATCAGCTTTAAAATCCCAGATTCCTTGCATAATCTGATATAGCTGTATTGGTGTTATTCCTGCATCATCATAATAATGCTGATCACCATTGCAGCTGGTCAGTGAATCAATAGCCAAGAAGCTAGCTAATGCTTAAAAAGATCATTAGTAAACCAACATGAATGATCTAAATTTGGCTGCCAACAAACCTAACTCGACACATTAATTTTATTGCATAAAATAATAAAGAAAACACTTAAAGTGGCCACCATTTGTTACAGAAAAACGTTTTATACAAAGAAATGTATTTTTTCCACACAAAAAAGCTATGACATCACAACAGTATGATTGGTCAGTTGCAATGTCGATCCTGGACCAACATTTCATTACTATTTTATGGTGGTGCAGAACAACACAATGCAGAACAATGTTGTAAATCCACACTCACAGGCAAGTGATGGTCTGGAACCAAATTAGCAAATAGAAAACAGAATCACTGAAACACTATAATTCTGATCTCCAAGGATATTTATTTTTTAGAAAAAATAAAAAAGCACCCACATGATTGTTTTATTTGAGATTTTTATTTTCCCACTGTTCTCTCTAAAGGCTGATTTATAGAAATCTTAAGAGCTTAGATTGTAAAAAGTGAGTTTGCTACTTTGTGAAAGAAATAACTCGAGTTATCACAGATCAGGACTTTTAAAACCCACACCACAGGTCTGCTCAAACAACTAAATACTAAGGAGTTCTCTGTAAAATGTGGGTCATTAAATCTCAAATCAAGGTTTCAAATGTTCTGCTCCATGTTAATTATATAGAAACATAGCAGATATCTTACATTAGGAAATAGTTAAGGTCCAAACATCAGTGTCTGAAACTCAAATCACTTCAAAACTGGATTCAGTTTCTTTTAGCCCCACAAAAGCTTGTATATTAGGCACCAAGTTTGATATATTAATAAAGTAACTGGGTGTTCTTGGTGACTACAGAATAAAAGTTTTTTGTGCTCTAAAATCCATTTCAGGAGCTCTTTTGTACCAAGTTATGACATTTCTGAAAAATACAATAAAATAAATAAATAAATCCAATGGGAGGGGGGTGATTTAGAGACTGAGTGTATATGTGACCAACACCCTGGATGTTTGGAAGCAGATTAGAACACACACCAAGTGCACCGTACTATCTTAAAGAAACCAGTGTGAACCTCTTTAACTCAAATCAAGGTTTGAGTTTTTTAGTCCCATAACACTCGAAAGCTTGATTCACAGCTTCTTCAAAGCCAGAAATCTTTGAACATTTAACTGCACGTTATCGGTGAGTGTTATTCAAAAATATGTTTGGGATGCAGTAGCAGGCTTTTTAGTGTAAAATAACACTCCAAATCTTATTTCGTGAGCATCTTCCTGGCACCGGAGTTTATGATTGAAAAACAAAATTGTCCAAATAAATATGTCAGCGGAGATTTTTAATGGCCCATAATCCTCCAAATCATTAAAAAAATCTTGTAAACTTGCTGGAAAATGTTAAAAAGAACAGCAGGTTATTGGTAAATACATGCCTCAGAATATCAGCATGGGCCTTCAAAACATCACAAATAGGAAAACCGAAAAGACACATGAAAGACACTGGCCTTGAAAAAACCCCATGTCTGATCAAACGATCTAAAAAAAATAATAATTTTAAAAAAAGTGAAAGTTTGTGGAGCAGCAGCAGCAGACGG